GAGAGTTAAGTTCATTATCATGGCAGAGTGTGGTAGCAGTTAGGCATGCTGCTGGAGCCATAGCCGAGAGGGAGAGGGCCTAGCATGAATTTTTTTTTTTTTTTTTTTTGTTTTTTTTTTTTTTTTGGTTTTTCGAGACAGAGTTTCTCTGTGTAGCCCCGGCTGTCCTGGAACTCACTCTGTAGACCAGGCTTGCCTCAAACTCAGAAATCTGCCTGCCTCTGCCTCCCAAGTGCTGGGATTAAAGGCGTGTACCACCACTGCCCGGCTAGCATGAACTTTTGAACCTCAGAGTTAGTCCCCAGAGTCATACCTCCAACAAGGCCACACCTATTTTTTCCTAAACAGTCTACCAACAAATCCAAACAGCCAGATATGTGCACCTGTGGGGGCCAGTCTCATTCAGACTGGCACAGAGTGCTATTCCATTTTATTCCATTTGTTGTAGTCTGAGTGGAATTTTTAGGGTTTCACAAGCATCTTCCAAAACCCTGAGTTTTCAGTCTTAATAAAATGTAGGTATTGCAGCTGAGTAGGATTTTTTTCCTTTTACTTGTGACCTTAGGCATTGACTTATGGTAAAAGAGGTCTGCTTTTTAGCCAGGCATGGTAGTAAGTGCATGTAATCACAGTAGTCAGGAACTTGAGGCAAGAGGATGGTCATGACCTCTAGATCTGGCCTCCATGGGCACCTGCACATACATATACATAACCTCATAGACATATACATAATTAAACTTTTGCTTCTTTGTTGTTGTTGTGAGGTTTTTATTATGTGTCTGTGGGGTTGATACATTTCTTTTAGGGGCTGGAGAGATGGCTCAATGGTCAAGACTGCTCTTCCAAGGGACCTTGGTTCAATTCCTAGCATCCATATGGTGATTCACTACCATCTATAACTGCTGTTTCAGGGAATCCAACACCTTTTTAAACTCTGCAGAGCATGCAAGTGGTGTGTAGACATACATGCAGGGAAAACACCCATACACATAAAATCTGTGTGTGAGGGAGAAAGAAATCGGTATTAGAAGCTAGGCAACGTGGTATACACCTGTAATCCCAGCACTCAAGAAGCTGAGACAGGAGAACCAGAACATTTGATTGAGTCTCTTCAGATTTTGTCTTAGAAGGTATAACAACATTGTTCTTATACTTGCAGTATACTTCCTGTATACTGTTAATAGAAAAGCATCTTTCCATGGATTTCTCAAAAAGCAGGGAAGTGTCCTTCAGCCCTCACATAAATCTCCATGTCCTGACCTATGTAGTCCTGAGGATCAAAGGCACCCTGTGCGTGTAGAAAAGGACTGTACCAACTGAGCTGCATCCCAGCCCTAATTTCATGTATTTGTTGGGCTTTTCTCCAGGGACCCTCTAGGGCAGTTTTGCTGTGCTGCCATACATTTATTAGTCTATCTTTGTACAAGTGCTCTTTTTGTTTTGTTTTGTTTGAGACAGGGTTTCTCTGTATAGCCCTGGCTGTCCTGGAACTCACTCTGTAGACCAGGCTGGCCTCGAACTCAGAAATCCACCTGCCTCTGCCTCCCAAGTGCTGGGATTAAAGGCGTGCGCCACCACCGCCCAGCGTGTACAAGTGCTCTTTATTGCCATCTGTTTACTCCTACTTGTGGAAGCTGACTTAGTTTGACCAAGTACTAGCAGGAATATGAACAGAAGGTGGCTACCATAGCTCTGGGGATTAAATTCATTGCTACTGGGGTTGCAATGGAATGAAGAAAAGACAAACATGCAGATGCACAGAAAAGCTGGTTGTCCCAAGGACTGGACTTACTAATTAACACCAGCTCCCTAGAAACGGAGGCTGTTTATTTATGCAAGTGACCAGAAAGGCATGGTTTATGAGTTGCAGAGGTGTCAAGAAGACAGTTGTAGCTCATATCGGTAGGAACAGTCTCTATAAGGGAACAGTTCAAGCAGTAAATAGCAGGGGGAATAGGTATGGTGTACATTTCCTATGCACCGTTTGCACTCAGATCCCTGAAGAAAGCTTTGCTGTCCTTGAACCTCACCTGACTTGGGGAGACAACTTTGCCATTTCTTCATGGGTCTATGCCTGGGACCCTTGACATTACTGTCAGCAGCTCACACGTTCAGGGCTTCCTCCACTCCCTTCAAAGGAGGGGCCTTCTCCAGATCTCATAGTTCCTTCCTTTCGGGGTATAATAATGAATTCTTGATTTCTTTTGTTCTGTTTTGTTTTGTGTTTTTGAGATGGGATCTTTCTATGTAGTCCTGGCTGTCCTGAAACTTACTCTGTAGACCAGGCTTGCCTCAAACTCAAGGATCTACCTCTCTCTGCTTTCCCAAGTGTTGGAATTAAAGGAGTGTACCACCACCCCTGCCGGGCTTTCATTAATGAATTCTTAAAGAAGCTGGGTGAGGATGGGGTTATGGAGAAGTGGCTCAACAATTAAGAGCACTTGCTGGTTTTGGAGAGGACTTGGAGTTGGTTCCCAGAACTCACATAGCAGTATACAGCAAACCTGTTCTCTCCTGTTCTAGGGGCCCTGCAAGCATGCAGGCCAAACACTCATAAAATAAGTGATCCTAAAAACAAGAGGCTGAGTTCACTCCCTAGCAACATGGTGTAGATTAACCCTGGGTCCTCACAGGATTACACCTGGTTTGGGCTACATTTAACTTTTTCAAATGGCACATGGGAGATCATTGAAACTACAACAAGCCTTACAGTGTCTGTCATCGTTTAGGTTTTACCCAGTATCATGGAATCCCATTTCCATTCTTCTGTAAACCTTTCAGTGCCACGCTGACTTGTTTCTGAATGAACAATTATTAGGATGGAGACAGAGATCAAAGGGAAATATTGGGGCTGGAGACATAGCTCAGCTGTTAAAGAACTTGCTTCCAAGCCACCGAGTAGTAGCTTACAACCATCTGTAGTTCCAGTTCCAGAGGATCTGATGCACTCTGTCCTCCACCAGCAGCACCAGGTATGTATGTGCAGGCATAATACCCATATTCATTTTTGAAGATTGTTTAATTTTGGGACTGGAGGGATGGCTCAGTGGTTAAGAGCACCATCTGCTCTTCCAGAGGTCCTGAGTTCAATTCCCAGCAACCACATGGTGGCTCACAACCATCTGTAATGGGATCTGACGCCCTCTTCTAGTGTGTCTGAAGACAGTGACAGTGTACTCACATAAAATAAATAAATCTTTAAAAAAAAAAGAAAATTGTTTAATTTTAAGGGAAATGACATAAGATTTGTTAACTAATAAAGGTTGGAACAAAGTAAACATTGGCTAATGACTAGTAGGTTGACAGGAGTCAAGTCCAGTGTACAGAAAGCAACTACTATGTGTATACAGAGCAGGGAAAGAAGGGAAAAAGGTAAGGAAAACAAACTTGCAATCACAGCTGAACTACTGATCCTTAGAGGGGCCCAGGTCCCAGAGGAACAGGAATATACAGGCCTGTGAGGAAACACCAGAGGTGGAGAAGCATTCCACCAAGTAGGGAAGTAGCTGGTGTTGCTTGATACCATTGGGACATACAGTGCAATGAATGGCTCAACTCAATGTCCTGTATTTTATGTCAGTTGAAAGTTGCATGCTTGGGCTGGAGAGATGGCTCAGTGGTTAAGAGCGCTGACTGCTCTTCCAAAGGTCCTGAGTTCAATCCCAGCAACCACATGGTGGCTAATAACCATCTGTAATGGGATCCAACACCCTCTTCTGGTGTGTCCGAAGACAGCTACAGTATACTTATATACATAAAATAAATCTTAAAAAAAAAAAGAGCAGACAAAGTAGATATTTAAAAAGAAAATTGCATGCTGGCATAGCCAGGGGTTCCAAATAATCTGCATACAGGAGAGCTTGGTGTAAGGATGCCGCTGACTGGTTCTGAGGACAGGGAGGTGAGCATCACAAGGTCTTCATGAACCACTGTGCACTGAATGAAAAAGGAAACAGCATCCAGAAAGATGTTGTCTGCATGTCTCTCTAATGGAGGCCTGACACTGAACTATAAAACAAAGGAGAAACACTTCCCAATGGCAGGCAGAGAAAGGAGAGTAGGTGCCCTCTGGTCACCACTTGAACCAATTGCTAGGAACTAACTAGCCATGGAAAAGCCATGTTTTTGTTAGAAGGTGATCATCCAGATGTCCCAAGTATAAATATGAATGGTTTTGAACTTAACAGCAAATGAAAACTGTGGAGAGGAGGAACATCTCTTCTTTAATTCTGTCAGTTTCTGAATCAATATTAGAAAATCCCAGAAAAAGGCCACTTCAACTGAGAAAAGTAAAATTTGGCCAGAGTAAAGCAGTTGTGCCTACAGCGTCTACAGTAGGTGTCCAAGCTAGAGAATTTTCCAACACGCAGGCCTCACCTAAAGCACCGTTGCTTTCTGGAGATAACTTGAGTGATTCTGCGGGCAGTGGTGGCACGTGTTTAATTCCCGGGAAGGAAGAGGCCGGCGGATCTGTGTTCGAGACCAGCCTAGTCTACAGAAAGAGTTTCAAAAACACAGTATTGGGGTACGGGGGATACGATTCTGAAGAGCAAATATACAGAAAGTTTTATTTCGGTTCTTTCCGGGGGAAGCGTTCAAATAATGTGCAAGTGCGAAGGGAGAGAAAGAACCATACAAGTTCAGGCGAGCTTTGCCTCCGTTTCCAGTAAAACTGTTTTCAGCAGAGTTTTTCCGGCTCGAAGTACTCGGGATGACCGGGAAGCCCTGAAGGTGTTTTCTCTACCTTTAGGTAAAGCTACGAAGTTATAGCACCCTGAGCCTTCTGTGTAGTTTTCACTATTTTGTCCGAAAGATAGCACTCTTCTGAAAATACTACAAATCCCATGGTGCCACTTCAGCGGGGGTGAGTCGGCCCTTGGCGCACGTGGGCGGATCTGACCAATAACGACTGTCGTTACAGCGAACAGTTTGGACGTGTTTGTAAAAGGCCGCGGCAGGCAAAGAGAGACGCGGCGAGGGTGGTCACCAACGAGAGGTCCCTAGAGTTGAGAGGTAGGTAAGGGGGTAAGGTGGGAGAGGCCAAGCACCCACCGGGCACGGCTCAGGGTGGGACTAGAGGCGGAAAACATGTTCGGGGAACTCCATGTCGGACTGATGACATTTCTGCTGGGCCCTCACTTTGGCACAGGAAGTGAGCGTCTCGCAGAGGCTGCCGGGAAGCGGGTCGCATTGGGAAGTGCGTTTTCCAGCCGTCCGTTCCCGGAAGCTGCGCTTAGGCGCGCTCCCCTAAACAACACAGAGGGATTGTGGCCCGGACTCTTGTTATTTGGCAGCAACCAGGCTGATTCTACAATCAGTAAAGGTCTGCGGGTTGTGACGTTTCGGTCCAACAAGACAGTTTTATTCCTGAAATGGGTAAATAGCACCTCCGCAGGATCCCTTGAGTGAATGCGTGTACTCGAGTAGTTCTTTCTCACTTGGGGTGGTGTTCACATGCCCAAAACAGCGTCCCCACACCGATCAGCTCAGCGGCCGGATGGAACCCGGGGCAGCCTATCGCGTCCCGGGTTCCCTCTGCCAGCGCCAGGCGCTGTTCATCCTCTTGCTGAGAAGAAACTACCATCGGGAGACCCTTCAGGTTTCCAACGGAGCTCCTTCACAAGTCGCGTTCCTTGTGTATCCTTTTTTAAGACAGAGTCTGCAAGCCGGGCGTGGTGGCGCAGCCTGTCATCCCAGCACTCGGGAGGCGAAGGCAAGAGGATCTCAAATTCCAGGACAGCTAGGCTTTTTTCCTGTCTCAAAAAGGAAAGAACAAACTGGGTATGGTGACTAGTTCTTTAATACGAGAACTCTGGAGGCAGAGATGGGCGAGTCTCTGAGTTCGAAGCTACCCTGGTCCATCCCAGGACAGCCAGAGCTATACAAGGAAATCCTGCTCCCACTTCCCCCCCCCCCAAAAAAAAGGAAAATAAGAAGAAAACTCTGTAATGTTTCATAGTAGTACATGTTTTCAAATTCGAATAGTAAAAAAATGAAACTAAACCTCCATTTCTCGGGTCTCAAATCAATGCTGAAGGAATAGACATTTATACTGTGTCCTTAAAGTCTTTTTTATAAAAAAAAGATTTGTGTGTGTGTGTGTGTTCCCAGTGTGTCAAAGGAGTTGAATTTCCCAGAATTAAGAGTTATAAGCAGATGAGCCCTGGTGTTGGTGCTTGGAACCAAACTTGGGTCCTCTAGAAGAGCGATACACATTCTTAACTACTGAGCCGTCTCTCCAGCCCCATTTCCCCCCTTACTTTTCAAAACCAAGCATAGCATACACAAAGCACTAAGCTTTTCTCGCTCCACAATGTATGTTGATATTTACTTGTTGCCGGTAAACAGATCTCAGTTGTTTCTAATGCCTTTACAGTCGCATATTGCTCAGCACACTGTGCTTAGTCCTTTAATGGAAGTCCTTTCCCTATGCTGCAGTTATGAAATCTCAGAGGGGGATCTCTGTGATTTGGATGCCAGTCTGGTCCCCACATTGAATACAGCCAGGTGTGCATAGTAAGACCCTATCTTCAAAAAAGAGATGGGAGCTGGAAAGGTGACCCAGTGGTTAAGAGCACATACTGCCCTTGCAGAGGATCTGAGTTGAGTTCCCAGCTCCCATGGCTAGTAGCCCACAAGCGCCTGTAACTACAGATCCATTGTGTCTGTCCGCTATGACTGCCTATTACTCATATGCACATAGCCTGACAAAGGGAATAGGTTTTAGCCCCTTCGCAGCAGTTTTTCAGGTTCTGAAAATGTTTAGTTACAGAGGAAGTAGCATGTTTACTATGATGTTTACATTTATTGAAATATATGGCCCAGCACTGTGGTCCATACATGTAGCCCTCTCACTTAGAAGGCCAAGACAAAAGGATTATCCAGAGTTTAAGGCCTGCCTCAGGTACATAAGTTCCAGGTCACAGAGTAAAACCTTATCTTAAAAATAAATAAAAGAAATAGTATATGGTACTCACTATATACATGGAGGGGTCTTACTGGGGATCAAATCAAGGGTCTTATACATGTTGAGCCAGTGTTGTACAACTCAGCTGTACGACCTTCAATCCCATATATGTTTATAGAAAGACAGTTGTCTACACAAATACTTGTCCCAGTGATCTCAGTACTATGTATGGCCAAAAAGTTGGGACTAAGCCAAGTATCTGTGGCTGATAAGTGGACATACAAAGCATGACTCACCTATACGTTAAAATACTGCATTAAAAAAAAAAAAAGATTTTACAGGGATTAGAGAAGTGGCCCAGCAGCTAACAGTGCTTGCTTCTCTTCAGAGCTCCATCCCAGCGCTCGGAGATGTCGTCATCAGGCGGCTCACAGCTGCCTGCAACTCCAGCTCCAGAGGCCCTCACACGCTCTCTGGCCTCCACAGGCATCTGCATCCATGTGTGCACATACAGACAAGTACACAGCTAAACATCTCTGAAAACATTTTAAGTAACTGGGTGTAGACGCTTATACCTTTAATAATTAGGTTAGACTCAGCACTCAGAAGGCATCTCATTAGTTCCAGGCCATTCAGGTCTACATAGTGAATTTCGAGCCAGTCAGGATTCCTGGGTGAGACCTTGGCCCAGAAACAAAGCCAAAACACTATGTGTTTTATTTATAAGCTAATACAGATGTTCGTGTGTATATGTATTTGGAAATTTGTTTCTCCATTATTTTTGTGCATAATTGGCAGTATATTATACATTCTAATTTACATCTAAATACTTTTTTCAAGAATTACAAGCAGATTGCCTCTCCCCTCCCACCATGAGAAAGCATTAAGAGGGCTGGGCGGTGGTGGTGCACGCCTTTAATCCCAGCACTTGGGAGGCAGAGGCAGGTGGATTTCTGAGTTCGAGAGTTCGAGGCCAGCCTGGTCTACAGAGTGAGTTCCAGGACAGCCAGGGCTACACAGAGAAACCCTGTCTTGAAAAAAAAAAAAAAAAAGAGAAAGCATTAAGAGGCAGAGAAGATGGTTGTTAAGGTGACGTTCCTCCTTACGAGCATGGCGACCTAAGTGCTAACCCTCAGAAGCCACACACACAGCCAGGTACAGGGATGAATCCCTGTGATCCAAGTGCTCAAGGGACCCTGGGCTCTGCTCTCCAGCCAGTCTAGACGAACTGCTGAGTTCAGTGAGAGACCCTACATACATAGAGCGCGCACACACACATGCTAGTAAAGCATTTGTATATATAAATCTAAAAAAAAAAAAAAAAAAAGAGTGGAGCTGTTATGGTGGCACAGGTCTTTAATCCCAGCACAGCACTCAGGAAACAGACAGGCAAATCTAGGAGTTGCTCCATGAGAGCCAGACAGCCAGTGCTACAGACAGAGAGAAACCCTGTTTCCAAAAAAAGAAAGAAAAAAAAGTGTAAAGCAAGTGAGGACACCCACTGTCAACTGTCAGCCTCTGGGCTCCTTACTTGAGATTGCACACTCATATTTACACAGAAGTATTAAGAGTCAGGTGTAGGGGTTGGAGAGATGGCTCAGTGGTTAAGAGCATGGATCTTCCAGGGGTCCTGAGTTGAATTCCCAGCAATGACATGGTGGCTTACAACCATCTGTAATGGGATCCAATGCCTTCTTGTGTGTCTGAAGACAGCTACAGTGTTCTCATAAAAATAAAAATTAAGGTGTTTTTTTTTTTTAAGAGTCAAGTGTAGAAGTACATGCCTGAACTCAGGCCAGCCAGATTCTATCTCGGAAAAAAAAAAAACAAAACTAAAAAAAAGTGTTAAAATGATTGAACTTAAGAGGCAGAGGAAGTAGATGTGTGAGGAAGTACTTGCAGAGCATGCGCAGACCTCCGGATTTGATTCCTCAGCACTGCACAGACCGAGTGTAATGCTGCATACCTGTGATCCAACAGTTGGAAGTGGATGCTAGAAGATCAGAGGTTCAGAGGCATCATAGGCTGCATAGGGAGATTGAGACCAGCCTGAGATAATGAGATAGTGTCTCACAAAAGGTAATGAGGGAGGGGAATGGTTACACATGCCTTATAAACCTAGCGCTCAAGCGTTAGAGGCAGAAGTATGAGAAGTTCAGATCATCCAAGACTACATGGGATCTCAGGGGACGGTAGTTAAGAGTCAGAGGACCCAAGTTCGGTTCCCAGCACTTAAATGGTGCCTCGCAACCATCCATAAAGCCAATTCTAGGGGATCTGGTGTTATCTTCTGCCTTCCATAGGCACCAGGGGTGCAGTTGGTGCATAGATATCCATGAAGGCCAAATAAACACTCATACACAGAAAAATGAATTTTAAGTGTTTCAGTGAAAGCTGGGAGGTAGTGGCTCATACCTGTAATCTCAGCTCTTGAGAGACAGAGGCAGGTGGATCTCTGTGAGTTCAAGGGAAGCCTGATCTACAGAATGACTTCCAGGACAGCCAGGGCTACACACAGAGACCCTGTCTCAAAAAAATAAGTTTTTCAATGAAAAATAATAAAATATAAGGCACTAAAAATATTATGTTTTACCATTAGGGAAGGTGAATGGGACCAGTTCTATACTGAAGCTTCTGTTCTGTCCACCTTATGCAATGACATTACTGTTATTTTACTACTTTGTTGTTGAAAGTATAAATAGTAAATTTCCATGGGAGTATCTGACAAATATTTCTCAAATGTCAAAATTTTAGATGTAGACTGCGTGGGGCCTTCGCTTGTATGGATGTTGTGGCACTGTCAACTGGCCTCAAGGACTTCACGTGGGCTAAGCGTGTCATCAGCTAATGAACTATCCCAGCTCCTACTCTGCCTGTTTATAAGTAGAAAGATCCATCTTTTGTCATACGACAACTGCCTTCTCTTGTTTTGCTTTCAGGCTGCCAAGAGTTCTACCTAGAGGAGCTGGAATCTGACTGGAACCCTGGGCAAGAGCTTTGCCATAGGGAATGGAATGTCTGCAGTGTTACATCAGAGTTCAGCCTTCAGAGGACTTAGGCCAAGTGGCACACCTCACTGCAGATGAGCATGCCTGGTTTTGTGCTGTCTGATTATCACAAACTAATGAGACACATGTTAGGTCTTATGGACGCAGGTTCCACTGTTCTCCAGGTGCCCTGGCGGCTGGTGCAGGTAGGACTGGAAAGGGCTGGGAAAGACTGGGAAAGACTGGGCTGGGCTTGGCTTCAGGGGACCAGTAGAAGTGAAATAATCCATCTTTTCTGTGCTCTGGTCCTTTTTTTTCTAAGACAGGTTCTCATGTAGCCCAAGTTGGCCTTCAACACCTTTATAGCTGGGAATGACACTGAATCCATGATCCTCTTGCCCTACCTTCTGAGTGCTGGGGTTACAGGCATGTACCACCACCTCCAGTTCATGTGCTGCTGAAGCACCATTCTAGTCCCAGCAACTGGGAGCCTAAGGCAGGAGGATCTGTGAGAACTTGAGACTAGCCTGGGCTACCGTCTTAGTTAAGATTGCTATTGCTATGACAAAATACTTGACCAAAAAGCAAGTTGGGGAGAAAAAGGGTTTATTTGACTTACACTTCCAGGTCACTATTCATTTTTGAAGGAAGTCAAGACAGAAATTCAAACAGGGCAGGAACCTGAAGCCAGGAGCTGATCCCGAGGTCATAGAGGGATGCTGCTGACCAGCTTGCTCAGCCTGCTCTCTCATAGGACCCTGGACTACCAGCCTAGGGATGGCATCACCTATAATAGTGTGGGCCCTCTCCCATCAATCACTAATTAAGAAAATCCTTTATAGCCATGTCTTAGGGTTTTATTGCTGTGAAGAGACATCATGATCATGACAGCTCTTATAAAGGACAACATTTAATTGGGGCTGGCTTACAGTTTGAGAGCTTTCGTCCATTATCATCATGGTGGGAAGCATGGCAGCATGCAGGCAGGTGTGGTGCTGGAGGAGCTGAGAGTTCTGCATCCTGATCTGCAGGCATCCAGGAAGAGACTGACTCAACACTAGATGTAGCTTCAGCATATCTATGAGAACTTGAAGCCCGCCTCCACAGTGATACCCTTTCTCCAAAAAGGCCACATCTCCTAAGGTTCTCTCTTAACAGATAACTGTAGCTTGTGTCAAATTGACACAACACTGCCCAGGACAGCTACATTTTTACAATCGAATCTGAACTACAAAGTGAGAACCTATTCCAAAATAAATAGATAACAATCCCTCCCTCATCTTTTCTCTGTCTTTTAATGTTAACTCTATGTGAATGTGTTCTCCTGCTGATAGTCTTGTCTTTCTTAGGGGCTGTGAACAATGGAACCCAACTCTCAGAGGACTAAAGTCCCAGCTTTCTTATCTGACTTGGGGAAGGCCACACTGAGGGGAATCAGGAAGTGTCCCCGATGTGGTACGTACAATGGTACCCGTGGGTTGAGCTGTAAGAACAAGACATGTGGAACCATATTTCGCTATGGTGCCCGAAAGCAGCCTAGCATTGAAGCTGTCAAAATCATCACCGGCTCTGATCTACAGATCTACTCTGTGCGGCAAAGAGACCGAGGCCCTGACTACCGATGCTTTGTGGAGCTAGGTGTTTCAGAGACCGCAATCCAGACCGTGGATGGTACAATTATCACTCAGCTGAGCTCTGGCCGGTGTTATGTCCCATCATGCTTGAAAGCTGCCACTCAAGGCGTTGTGGAAAACCAGTGTCAACACATCAAGCTAGCAGTGAACTGCCAGGCCGAGGCCACCCCTCTGACTCTGAAGAGTTCAGTCCTGAATGCTATGCAGGCTTCCCCAGAAACCAAACAGACCATCTGGCAGTTGGCCACAGAACCTACAGGTCCCCTGGTGCAGAGAGTCACTAAAAACATTATGGTAGTGAAATGCAAAGCCAGCCAAAAGCACAACTTGGGCTATTTGCACACGTCCTTCATGCAGAAAATCAGCTCCAGAAGCTTGTCAGAGCGCCGTTTCTTCTGCTCCTGCCAGACTCTGAAATCACATAAGTCCAGCATCCCCAAGGCTGAGGCAACCCCAAAGTGCATCCACTTCTTTGCTTGCCTCTGTGCCTTTGCCAGTGATGAGACATTGGCTCAGGAATTCTCGGACTTCCTAAATTTCGATGCCAGCGGTACGTGAAGAGTTTGACAGTTACTTAGTTGTTCTAAAATGGCACTGAAGGCGTTCTGCCGATGCATTTGGGAATTTTCCTAATAGCCCTTAGATTCAGGTGCTCGGTAGTACAGATGAAAAGGCCTGTCTTCTTTTATAACTGTGTGTGTGTGTGTGTGTGTGTGTGTGTGTGTGTGTGTGTGTGTGATGTGTGTAAGTGTGTATGTACTGTGGCATACATATACACACCTCAGACAATTCTGTGGTGTCACTACTCTCTTTGTACGTTTACAAAAACTCCAGGGTTTGAACTCAGGTTTACAGCAAGTGCTTTTACATGCTGAGCCATCTCACTAGTGTACTTTAAAAAGCAATCATTGTATTAGGTGGTGGTGGTGCACACCTTTAATCCCAGCATTCAGGAGGCAGAGGCAGGCGGATCTCTGAGTTTGGGACCAGCCTGGTCTGCAGAGTGAGTTCCAGGACAGCCAGGACTACACAGAGAAATCCTGTTTGAAAAAAAACAAAAAACAAAAAAAACCTCTCAATAAAAAATGAAAGAAAGAAGAAGCATAATATGTTGGTAACATAACCAGCTGGCCTCAAATCAGTCCTTTTGCCTCCTATATGCTGGAATTACAGCCCAAAGCCACCACTCCTGACTAGCATTTCTTCTTTAAATTCAGCACATGTACTGAAAAGTTTGGTTAGATGGCTGAAACTAATAATATAGAGCTGAACGTATTTTTTGAGACACAGGATATAACAAATATGGGGCGGGGGGCGCAGGGTAGCATCTTTTTGGCCCTTGCATGTACGAGTACCTGTGTGCGTGCATGCAGAGCCCAGAGGAGTAATGTCCATTACTCTGTCTTAACTCGTTAAGATAAAGTTTCTCACTGAACCAGAAACTCACAACTTCAAGTAGGCCAGCAAGTTCCCAGGGCTCACCCATCTTCATTGCCCAGTGCTGGGCTACAAGCACTGTAGCTGTGCCCAGCGTTTTACATGAGTGCCAGGGATTTGAATTTAGGTTCTCGTCCTTTTGTACCAAATCCACTTACCCACATTACTGTCTCCTCAGCCCATAGTTTGATTCTTTTATTCATTTATTCATTCATTTATTTATTTATTTATTTTTATTTATATGAGTATGTTGTAGCTGTCTTCAAACAACACACTAGAAGAGTATATCAGATCCCATTACAGATGGAAATTGAACTCAGGACCTCTGGAAGAGCAGTCAGTGCTCTTAACCGCTGAGCCATCTCTCCAGACCATTTGATTCTTTTTTTTTTTTTTTTTTTTTATGTTATGGATAACCTAAGTTGAGCAAAATTACACAGAAAAAATATTTTATTATAGCCTTTTATTTTTCTAATCTCCAGAAATGAAGGTACCATGCTCAAAATACCTGTATCGTTTTTGTTGTTGACATTTTTTAACTTAATTTATTTATTTAGTTGATTTAATGTATATGTGTGCCTTTTGGTGTATATCTGTGCACCATGTCTGTGCAGAAGCCTTGGCAGAGGTCAGGAAAGGCCTCAGATTTGCTGCAAGTGGAGTTTTAGCTGGATGTAAGCTATTATGTGGATGCTGGGAGCCAAACCCATATTCTCTGCAAGAGTGGCCAGTGCTCTTCAGACCTCTGTTGTTGAAATATTTTCATCTGTTTGTTTTTTAAATGTGTTTGTGTGTGTGTGTATGTTGATGTGACATGGTGCATGTGTGGAGGTCAGAGACACCCTCAGCTCTAAGTCCTTGCCTTACTTTCCTCTTGTACCCAGAGCTTTGCACTTGCCAGGCAAAAGCTCCACCACTGAGCTAAGACCCCAAACCCTCACCTTCCCTTTCCTTGGAGGCAGGGTCTCTCATTTGCTGCATACTCCATACTCCAGGCTAATAGCTTATGAGCTCTCAGGGGATTCTCCTGTTTCTGCCTTCCATTTTACAGTAAGAATGGAGATATTGTAGATGTGCTACCACGGGAGTGATAATGGTTAGTTTTTCCCATAGGCCTTTAATTTTTTTTTTTAAAGATTGTTTAATGTATATGAGTGTTTTGCCTGCATGTACACACATGCCTGGTAACCCACAGAGGCCAGGAGAATGTATTGGATACCCTTTCATTGGAGTTACAGACAGTTGTGAGCTGCTGTGTGGGTGCTGGGAATCCAACCCAGGTCCTCTGAAAGAGAAGACAGTGCTCTTAACCACTGAGCCATCTCCTTAGCTCCACTGTTTTTCTTAAAGTTTGTCCTTATTTTCTGTGTCCAAGTGACTGCCTACACATGTGTATGTGCACCACATGTGTGCCTGCTGCCCACGGAGGTCAGAAGAGGCCATCGGATCCTTTTGAACTAGAGTTACAGGGTGGTTTTGAACCACCATGTAGGGCTGGGAACCAAACGTGGGTCCTCTGCCAGAACAGCAATTGCTCTTAACTGCCCTGCCATCTCTCCAGCCTCGTGTCTGAATTTTTACATGGGTTTTGGGGGAAGTATGTATCTGTGTGTGGCTATCAGGTAAGTTCCTATAAGGGCCAGAGGCATGAGGTGCTTAGAGGAACTCAACAAGAAGTGGTGATGAGCCACCCAACGTGGTTGCTGGTGACTGAACACACCCAAATGCATGGATGCTAGTACCCAAGAAGGCCAGAGCCATCAGGTATTCCCTTGAGCTGGAGTTGCAGCCAGTTGTGACCTATGGAAGTGATAGGAACGAAACTTGGGTCCTCTGCAAGATGGTCCCTGAGCCATCTCTCCAGACCCCAATTTTTATTTCTTAATGATTGTTAGCTGCCAACAGCTCCCAGCATTTTAGTTTTACATTTCTCTGTATAAGAGGAGGGGTGTGTCTCTGAAAGTCAGCAATAGTGCTGTGTACTTACAGCCAGCTCTTTGTAGGTCTGTCCATTTGTATTAACCCAAATGATTAAAACATTCTACTAACTTCATCACAAAACCATGTGGACGAATAAAAACTTTATATTATTAAAAAGTATTTTTAAACTTAGAATTTATTCTGCACAGGGTAAAAGAATTTAATATTTAGCTCTCAAGTTTGGATTATCAGTATATTACAATTTTATGTATCAGACTCAAGTAGCATACAAATTGAATACATTTAAACTTTTTTTGCTAAGTATTTATATTGTATTAAAAATAAGAAGCTCAGGACTGAACTAAATATTTAATCAGGTTAAATTCTGAATATGTTTCTGTTTTCATTTGTCCTGTTTGTAAAAGTGTGCAAATACATCACCCAGACTAACTCCCATTGCTGCACTTGCTGTGTGTCTGTGGATGGAAAACAAATTCAGTGATTTTTTTTTTTAAACAAAGAATACATATTTCCTAATACTACATTTTAATGTTGTTTATTGTTCAGTAAATTTCTCTGATTGGCACAAGTACAAGAATCTACTTGAACCATGTACCAAGCAAATATAAAGTGTTCCATGAAGAATTCCTCAAGCTAAAAAAAAAAAAGAAGAAGAATCGAGGTGTGTGTGTGTGTCTGTGTGTGTGTGTACTGGAGATGGGAACCCTTGTGTGTCTGTGTATGTCTGTGTGTGTGTGTGTGTGTGTGTGTGTGTGTGTGTGTATGGAGATAGGAACCTTTGTGTGTGTGTGTGGAGATGGGAACCCTGTGTGTCTGTGTGCATGTGTGCTGGAGATGGAACCCAGAGCCTTAGGCATTCTAGGCAAGCCCTCTGCTCACAGACCACTCCTCCATTCCTAACTAGAGCAAGATGTTTGGGAGAGTTTTTTTCAAGTAACTTATTTTACGTCAAGCAAGTGGTCTATCCTTTTTTTTTCTGGAGTCAGATTTTTATAGATTACTTTTTCTTTAGTTAGGGTTCATACTTTCTCTTGAATAGTAGTAGTAATTCAGAAACCTTTCTTTTTTTAAGGTCTTAAAGAGATAGTTATACCCCAGTTAGGCTGCCACGCAGAATCGTCTGTCTCAGCTTGTGAGTCTGCTGCCTCTAAGTCCCGGAAGAGGAAGAAGGATGAAATGTCTGGTGAGACGATTTTACTCATTTCTTTCTTTTTTTTTTTTTTTTTTTTGAGACAGGGTTTCTCTGTATAGCCCTGGATGTCCTGGAACTCACTCTGTAGACCAGGCTGGCCTCGAACTCAGAAATCCGCCTGCTTCTGCCTCCCAAGTGCCGGGATTAAAGGCGTGCGCCACCACTGCCTGGCTACTCATTTCTTTATTGTGTAGAGGTTGTCTTTTGTTTTTCACTGAGTCTGAGGAATCACGAGAAAAGACCTCCCCTCCCCCCCTTTTTAAAAGATTTATTATTTATTGTATGTGTGCGAATTCACTGTTACTTTCTTCAGACACACCAGAAGAGGGCATCAGATCCCATTACAGGTGGTTGTGAGCCACCATGTGGTTACTGGGAATTGAACTCAGGATTTCTGGAAGAACAGTCAGTGTTCTTATCCACTGAGCCACCTCTCCAGCCCCCTGAGAAAACTCTTGTTCCTGAATTTTTAATAACTTTTTTTTTTTTTTAAGTAAGAGGTAGGCCAGGTGATGTACTCCAGAAACAGAGGCAGGTTTGAGGCCAGCCAGGTCTACCTAAAGAGTTCTAAGTCAGTGAGGGCAACATAATGAAATTCTGTATTGAAGGAAGGGAGGGAAGGAGGGAGGAAGGGAGGCAGGGAAGGAGGGAGGGAGAGAGGGAGGGAGGGAGGGGAAAGGGAAGGGGAAGGGGGAAGGAAGGAAAAAGAAGGGGGGAGAAAGGAAAAGGAAGGGGGAAGGAAGAGAAGAGAAGGGCAGGATGAAAGACAAGCAAACAGGCAAGCTGGGCACTGGTGGCACAGGCCTTTAATCCCAGCACTCTGGAGGCAGAATGAATTTGAGGCCAACCTGGTGTACAGGGTAAGTTCTAGGACAGCGAGGGCTATACAGACAAACTCTGTCTTTAAAAATAAAACAATAAAAAGGCTGGGCGGTGGTGGCACACACCTTTAATCCCAGCACTTGGGAGGCAGAGGCAGGCGGATTTCTGAGTTCGAGGCCAGCCTGGTCTACAGAGTAAGTTCCAGGACAGCCAGGGCTACACAGAGAAACCCTGTCCCAAAAAGTAATAATAAATAAAAATAAAAAATAAAAATAAAAAACCCATTTGTGTTGGGGAAATAGTTTAGTGGTAGAATAGATGTAGTGCATGTTCGAAATCCCCAGCACCAAACACGTCTCTTAGTGGAGAACTTTAGGTCCAGTGGGAAACCCTGTCTCATGGGAGCAAGGTAGAGAGCAATACAAGAAGATACCCAACATCCTGTTCTGGCTGCCACATTCTCAAAACATGCTCACCCCACCACCACCTCACACATACACACCGTGCAAAGAGTAAATGAGCTAGCTGAAGTGGTGTATGTGAGTAAACCCGACACTTGGAGGTGGCGGCTGGAGGACCAGTATCCAAAATCATCCTTAACTACATACCAAGGTTGAGGCCATCTTAGGCTGCCCTGTGTGAAAAACAAACAAATCAAATATCGTAAAATTATTCATAGAAAAGAAAATGGAAGAGAGCTCACCAGAAAGCATGTTGGTTATCAAACAGGTAAAAACTGCAGGTAGATTCCTTCCTTCCACTTCTGTTTTCTGTCTCAGTCTCTTATAAACAGCAGAAAAAGTTAAAATTTTGTATTTAATGGTTAAGACTGGTTCATTCTAGAAACTGTAAAGCTATACTGAATATTACCAAAGACTGTTTATGTTTTAGGTACTTTAGAAATCACTATCAAGTCAATTTTTATAATTGTACAGAATTAAAAAATAATTATTTTATGTGCGTCTTGCCTGTATGTATGCGCCTACATGTATGTATGTTCATGTATGTTTGTGCACTATGTGTGTTCCTAGGGAGTGTGGAGTCCCCCAGAACTGGAGTGACAGGAGGTGTGAGCTGCCATGTGGGTGCTGGGAAACTGACCCTGGCTCCTCTGCAAAGGAGCCAGTGTTCTTAACTGCTGAGCCATTGCGCTAGCCCCAGTTTTGCAGACTTCTTTTAAGATTATTTTTGTCTGGGTTGGAGAAATAGCTCTGTGGCTAAAGACTCTTGCTAAAATTTGAAGATCTGAGTAATTGGGAACTTTTATCCATGGGACCCCCATGGTGGAAAGAAAGAACTAACTCCCACAAATTGTCCTCTGACCTCTATGTGTGCCCTGTGGCACACCCACATAAACAGAAAATAAAAATGTCAGGAGACATGGCCCAGTGGTTAAGAGCACTGGATGCTCTTCCAGAAGACACTGTTGAGTTCAATTTCTAGCACCCACATGACAGCTCACAACTGTCTGTAATGCCAGTTCCAGGGGTCTGGCACTCTCACTTCGACATACATGAAGGCAAAAACAGTAATGAACATAGTATAAAAATAAATAAATTTTCAAAAATAAATTTAAATGTAACAACAAAGTTACTTTGTCTTGTATGTGGGTAAGATTACTTTTAACTCCTGATCGTGTCTCTGCCTCCCATCTGCTAGATTACATGCCTGGCTGTAGACGTGAAGTCTTGTTGGGTGTTGTCTAGTCTCTAAGACAGGATCTCCTATACCCCAGGCCTGGTGCTCACCTTGCAGGGGAGGATGACCTTGAATGTATTCCACCTCCACTTCTTGCTGGCACTAAGGCTTATGCCATTGCTCTCAGTTTATGGGGCGTAGGGCTCAGTCCAGGGCTCAGTGCATGATAGGCATCTCATTCCCGAGGCATGTCTTAACTATTGGAACCTATTTGTGATCTAGGTGCACAGGTGAATAACTCACTGATGCCACAAGATGCAATAAACAGCAATCTAAGGAAGAGCGGCCTGAAAAAGCCTGTGGTTACGGCGTCACTAAAAAGGCAGGGTAAGTTTCCTTTCCTAGAAGGGGCTTCAGGGGTGGAAACCACCCAGGTAGTCAGAAGGAGTACTCAAAAGAAATGTTGCATGTTGTCTCCTATGATGTGGTACTGACATAAAAAATAGCAGTGAGTGGAGTCCCAGAAGCTGAGGTCTCTCCTGTTCCCCTAGGTTCAAATCATGCTCAGAGTTATGCTAGGATCAACAGGTGGTCCAGCAGTTTAGAAAAGGATTTGCTGCTCTGCTGTGAGTTTAGGTCTCAGCTCTCTCTCGGACAGGTTACACCTATAACCCCTGCTCCAAGGGATTTTATATGTTGTCTGACTGGAAAACAAACACACACAAAAGTAAAACACATCTAAGACTAAATCGATGGCTCAGTGGTTTAGAGCACTTGCTGTTCTTTCAGAGGACCTGGGTTCAACTCCTAGCACCTGTGTCAAGCAGCTCACAGCTGTAACTCAGGATGTAGACCTGGCTGTTTTGAACTTGTGGCTCAACTCTGCAAATAACTCCATCTCTAGGCAATGCAGTACCTCTCTGGCCTCCAAGAGCACTGAGAAGACACCTGGTACATATACATGCTGGCAAAACACCCATACATATAAAATAAATCAAATGAATCTCTAAATTATTAGTTTGTTGGTCTGTATCTAAATACACCTGTTGTTTTGCCTGCAGGTATGTCTGTGCACCGCTTACATTCAATGGCCTCAAAGGCCAAAAGAGGTTGTCAGATCTCCTGAGACTGGAGTTATGGACAGCTGTGAGCTGCTGTGTGGGTGCTAGGAATTAAATCTAGCTCCTTTTGAAGAACAGCCAGTGCTCCTAACTGCTGAGCCATCACTCCAGCTTCTAAAATACAATTAAAAAATAATAAACTATGCTTCCTATATGGTGGTGTGTTTCTGCAATCCCAGTACTCAGGAAGCAGAGGCAGAAGTATAACCACAGTTGAAAACCACCTGGTCTGCATGCTGAGCTCCAGGCCAGGGAGGGCTACATACAAGACCTTATCTTAAAAGAACCAAGATAATTACAGTGAGTATAATCACAAAGACAGAGTGGGTGAGCGCTTGTCAGGAGTTAGTAGGATGGCGTCTTGTGATAGAAGTGTTCTTTCTTGCCTGTGGCTGCACATAGGATAAAATGCAGAGTGTGTGCATGACTTGCAAGTATGTGCAAAGTGGGTGAAAGCAAACGGGGCCCTTAGGTTGTGTCCACATCATTTTCCCAAGTGAGTATTTATTCTGGACAGCTTAAACTTTATTCTCAGAAGTCTTGGCAAGTAGTATACAAGCTCTTGTGTTGAGATTGGCTCTCACTGTGTAGGCCAATATGGCTTCAACTACAGCTGCCCCTGCCTTAGCCCCCTGAGTGAACATTCAGGCTATAGGTGTGCACTATCACACCCAGGGAAACTTTGTATTTCGTACAACTATATAAGAATATACACTTATATCAAAAAGTTGTATATGCTCTTTAAAGAAAAAAAAACTAAAATTACTGAAAACAAAAAAGTACTAAATTACATCTTTTTGTTTGTTTTTGTGATACAAAGAGTTGAAGCCGGGCGTCAGGATACCAGGCACGCACACTATCCTGACTGGGCCCCAAGCACCCTGCTCTTTATTCTGGTCTCATTAACCTCCATCCCTTGTTACTTTTTTCTCAGTAGTTTATTCCAGGGCTTTAAGAGTTTTGCCATTTCCCTCTTATTTTATGTTAAGTCTTCATTCCTTTTGCATTTCTGAATACAAACATTTACAGTTAAGTGTGAAATACTATAGCAACTCATAATGAATTACCTCCCTTTCTTTCTTTCTTTATTTATTTATTTTATTTTTTTATTTTTTTGGTTTTTCGAGACAGGGTTTCTCTGTGTAGTCCTGGCTGTCCTGGAACTCACTCTGTAGACCAGGCTGGCCTCAAACTCACAGAGATCTGCCTGCCTCAACCTCTTGAGCAGTGGGATTAAAGGCATGGGCCACCACTGCCTGGCCAATGCCACCCTGCTTTTAATTATTATTCTTATTTAATGTGAACAGGAGTTTTGCATGTGTGTATGTCTGTATACTATATGCATGCCCCATGCCTGCAGAGGCCAGAGGAGCATCTGATTCCCTTGGAATTAGAGTTGTAAGCTGAATAATTGTAAGCTGCTACAGTTCTGAAAATCAAACCCGGATCTTCAGGAGCAGCCACTGTTATTAACCTCTGAGCCATCTCTCTACACCCTGGTTTGCTTTGTCCTGGTTTGTGTTGCCCTTGGCTGGCCTGGACCTTGATATGTAGACCAGAATGGCCTTGATCTCACAGCAGTCCACTTGCTTCTGCCTCCTGACCGCTAGAATTAAAGGTGTCCACCACCACACCTGGCTGTTTAACCTATTTATCTCAAAACTCCCTGAGTAGCCACAGATGGCCCTGGACTCCTGCTCCCCCACCTCTGCCTGAGTAGCCACAGATGGCCCTGG